TTTGTTACAATTTATCGATAATTAGAAATAACCTATTGCGCGAAAGTGTTGACACAAAATGTTTGTTCAGTTTTTTGTCACCTAGACATCATCTTAGAGAATGAAAGGTAGTCAGTTAGAACAGAGATGTCCATCGCGGCGCTGCCGCTGCCGCTGCCGCGATGGCGGTGGCGGCAGCGGCAGGTTTTTTAAAAAATCACCGCGGCAGCGGCACGTTTATTTTATAATTCATCGCGGCAGCGGCGCGGCAACGTTTTTTTTATAAGTCATCGCGGCGCGGCAACATTTTTTTATAAACCATCACGGCGCGGCAATATTTTTTTATAAATCATCGCGGCACGGCTGCGGTGCGGCAGCTTTTTTTTCTAAGGCCGCGGCGCGGCAACGGCAGATTTTCAGCCGCGATGGACATCTCTGAGTTAGAATCAGAATTTGATGCTCTTTCTAAATGTATGTTCAGAATTAATTTTTGAGTTAAGTCTGTTAACTAGAAGCAAATACTTGCATGGGCTCAAAATGGACGTCTGTACAAATATTAAGTTGAAACGTCTTCGTACAAACGTTTACTCATTTTCAGATACTTAAGCGTCATTGAAGAATAGCAAAAGTATCCAGTTAAAGTCAAAATTTTATGCTCTTTCCAGATATATATGAGCACATGACTGAATAAACCAAAACTAGCGTTAACATCAAATAAAGAAGTGTTTTCTTGTGATTCAAAATTTCTCAGATTGACATTGTGGACCAGTCTTGGTCTCTATACTATCATGGATCATTTAGGTTTCTACGACAGCATGAGTTATAATAAACTAGAACTAAAAATAAACAAAAGCTACAGAAATTTTCGAAGAGCTGCTCTCTATGTAAGATGACATTTTGTCTCAACTTTGTTTTTCTCCAATGCAACAGATATTGAGCCATTGCTGTCATATGTCAAAACAGAAATAAATAGTTCATTTTGTAGAGCGGAGTTCACTCTACAAAGTGGTTTATAAGAAGATTTTTTATAGTTTAAACTTGAGACGATTTTAATTAAAATATGAAAATAGGTAATATACAAAAATTCTGTACAGACGTCCATATTGAGCCCATGCAAGTATTTGCTTCTAGTTAACAGACTTAACTCAAAAATTAATTCAAAACATATATTTAGAAAGAGTATCAAATTCTGATTCTTAACTGACTACCTTTCATTCTCTAAGATGACGTCTAGATTGCAAAAATTGAACAAATATTTTGTGCCAAGACTTTGGCGCAATAGGTTAAGTAAATCGATAAATTTCTAATTTTAAAAGTAAATTTTATTAAATATTTTAAAATTTAATCTTCAATAAGTGATTTTTTATTTATTTATTTTATATCTAATATCTATTCATATTATGAAAAATTTACTAATAGTTTAAAAGTTTTCTCGAATTATATGATTTGCTTTGTTCTTGAATCTTCAACTTCATCTAAAACATGAAATAAATCATTATTTAATGAAATATTCTCTTCAACATACCACATGGTGGCATATGATCATCAACTTGTCGTGTCCCATTAACTTCAATACCATGTTTATCGACACACCAACATTGTCGTGGTGTATCTGTATTACATTGTCTTGCTGC